ACATGCTGGTCTGGTTGGTTAGACCAGTGTTTGAAGTGGAACACACACACACACACACACACACACACACACACCAATTAAAATAATGCTGATAGCGTGGACTAGAAGCCAGGTGATGGTTTACGTATTTAAATGATGATCAGGCTGCTGTAAAATGTAATTTCCATCCACATCCAGACACAATGATCCTCTATTCTGTCTCTAGTTGCTCTGCTCTTGCCTGGGCTGACGTAGCTGACGGTGCGCGCGGCGCGCCTAACTAGCGGCTGATGCACATTTTACGCATTTGGAGAGGTGGGCTGGATGCTTTGCTTTTACTGGAAGATGGTCCACTTAACGCACGGGTGTAGACTACATATTAATGACAAATGAATGAAAATTAAATTGGGAGTTTTTACTTCATATTTTAGGAATAAAAATGACGGGGGAACACATTTATGACGTCTTTTTAAACGAAATTTTCTAGCGCGACCTGCCTGCTTCACTTAAGTCACTGCTTATTAAGGTCCGTCCAGAATTACCGTGGCCCACCCAAAAATGAAAACCTGGCGCTGCGCCTGTTATAAACCTCTGCAAATGGTTGTTCTTCACTTTATCAAACTCAGACTTTGTACAGCTAATGTCAAGATGTAAAATTATGAATTCAGTCGAGCTCTTCCGTCCCTCCCTCTCCTGCTCTCCTTGAACCCGACATCGGCTGTCAGAAGCGGGAGGTGAAGAAGGAGATGAGGCCAACAGAGTGAGTGCGACCTAAAGAAACCAGACTGGTGTGGAGGTGAGCAAACAGCTGGAAAAGTGTGGGTGTTGAATCCCCCACGGGTGTGACGCCCATGCGAGCGACCGGTACCGGCTGCTGTCACCTGGTTATGAGCAGCTCTCTGCTGTCTGAGGCTAGGCCCCGCCCACAACGATGCGACTGCTGCGGTGTTTTCTTTACCGTGGGAAACGGGTAATAATGGCTCTTTGATGGGAACAGGTTGCCGACCCCTGGTATAGGATCTGAGCTGGTAAAACAAAAATCCTCAGCAGCAGGCTTTTTTGAAAGTGGGGGGGACACAGCTGCCAATCACAAATTTTGCCGGGGACATGTCCCCGGTGTCCCCGGTTAAAATGACGCCTATGCCTAGTACAGAGCCCTGGGAGACTCCTGTGGCAAGATGGTGCACGGTAGAGGACTGTCCAAGCCAAGATACACTGAATGATCGTCCTGTGAGGTACGATTCAAACCAGGCGTGTGCTTTCTCTGTGATGCCCATGCTAGAGAGAGTGGACTAAAGGAAGCCATGGTTGACAATGTCACATGCAGCCGATAAGTCGAGCAGGATAAGCACTGAGGATTTGCCTGTCGCTCTAGCTTCTTTTAAGGATTTGGTCACTGCTAACAGCAGTTTCAGTGGAGTGGCCCTTTTTGAACCCAGATTGGTAAGGGTCAAGCAGACAGTTTTGTGAGAGGTATTCTGTGATCTGCTTGAAAGCCACCCTTTCAATGATTGTGGACAGAAAAGGGAGGAGAGAGATAGGTCGGTAGTTCTCCACATGATTTGGAGGAAGAGATGTTTTTTAGCAGCGGTTTAACCTGAGCATGCTTGAGAGAGATGGGAAATGTACCGGATGTCAGTGAAGTGTTGATCACATGTGTGACTGCTGCGGCTGCTGTAGGAGCAATAGCTTGGAGCAGCTTAGTCGGAATGGGGTCAAGTGGGCATGTAGTAGGGTGGCTGCACGTGAGAAGCTTGGACACACAGTTCTCAGTGAGAGGGGAACAAGAGGAAAATGAAGCAGTAGGGCCTGAGATGGTTGGACTAGAAGGAGTTTGTGGTAGCGAATGTTCAGGAGTGGCCAGTTGAGTAAACTGTTGGTTTATAGCCGCCGCTTTGTCAGTGAAGAATGAGGCAAAGGTGTCAGCTGATAGATTGTTGGTAGGAGGTGGAGATGGAGGGGTGAGCAGAGTTTTGAATGTTGAAAATAGTTTCTGAGAGTCAGTAGAGCTGAGAATGTTGTCAGTGTAGAAATCTTTCTTTGCATCAGTGATGCTGGCCGAGAATGAGGACAGTAATTCCTGAAATTTCAGTTGATCACCAGGATCTTTTGTTTTGCACCATTTCCATTAGGCAGCTCTAAGATTGGTGCGTAGAGACCGGAGGGTATCGTTTAGCCAAGGGTGCGACTGAGAGGCTCTAGCAGGTCTAGTGGCTAAAGGACACACGTTATTAAGACAAGAGCCGAGTGTGGAGCAGAGTGACTCGGTGGCTTCATTCACTTCATAAGCAGAGAATGTGCTGGGAGAAGGAAGAGTGGAGGCAACAAGAGAGGAGAAGTGGTTGGGTGCCAGATTGCAGAGGTTGCGGCGGAATGAGACCATTGGGGAGGAAGCAGTGGACCTCCCTTGTAGAGTCATGCTGAAATGGATGAGGTAATGATCTGAAAGGTGCAGCGGTGTGACAGAGATTGTGTCTATGACACAGTTTCTGGAGAAAATGAGGTCAAGTGCTTTTCCAGCTTTGTGAGTTGGAAGACTTTGTACTAGTTTTAGATCGAATGATGACATTAGTGACAGGAAGCCCGATGAGCTGGGATTGTCCAGGTGAATATTCATGTCTCCAAGGACCATTGTGGGGCAGTCGTGCCATGGCTGCTCTTTTGTGATGTCAGGGTTAGTTGTGCGTGTGGTAACTGTTGTGGTGAAGTGGAACGCATTCTTCTGTTTGGGCTGGCTTGAGTTGTGGACGGTTACCCAGGAGTTTTGTTGTCCTGTTGTTCTTTTGCTTGTTGCTCCATCGTGTCGTTTTGTTTCTTCTCCGTTTTCTCATGGTTTGTAAGTCCAGGTGTCTTCTTTCCTGTTTTGATGTTTCTTATCCTTTCTTGGTTTGTAGCTGGAGGCTTTTCGGTGTCATGTCCCCATCCCGACATCTTAAGTTGAAGCAGCATCCTTAGATGTGCTAGCTTTGCATGTAACCGTTCCAAACGTCGGGAGTCCTGTTTCTTGCTTTCTGTAGTTTTCTTTGAAACTCTGTCGTTCA